CCTGAGGCTGGGGTCCCAGAAGGGACACAGAAGCCTCTGGCCAGGGAGGCTAGCCCCAAAAGGGAGGAGTTTCTGTACCCAGCTGGCGAATGAGGACAGAGAAGCTCAGAGAGGGAGGGAAAGTAGCCAAACAGCCAGTGAGAGTCAGGAGGGCTGGGGCCTGAGCTAAAGTCATGCCTGCGCATCCCTGTCTCCCCACGCAGATCCCAGAGGTCCCTGCTGCTAACATTTTCAGTTTTGGGTTTCCGAGGACATTACTCAGAGCCATTTTCTGAAGGGAAGATCACCTCCGCACGCTGCCAGCTTCCACACGTGCCTTTGCGGGAAGCTGACCCCCACCTCGCCCTTGGTACACTGGAGAGGGCTTCCCATCTCCAGGGCATCTCCGTCAGTGAGGAGCTCGGCTCTGCCTCCGTGTAGCTGGTACACCCTCCCATGAGGCCTGCTGCGTGCTCTGCTCTCTGAGCCCCGGGACAGCCATGACCCAAGGGGGTCTCCAGTCCCGTCTCCATCCCCACTACCTCTTACAGAGCACCCCAGGGTGGGGGCCACAAGCACAGGGCCTGAGGTCAGAGCAGTGCAGAGATCTTGCTGTGGGGGCTCTGGAGCCAGCAGTGGCCAGGAAAGTTCCTCCCTGGAAAGACAGTGCAGGCGGCACAAGGCTCAGGCGAGGCAGGGCAAGGGGCGCCTGGCTTGAGGGGAACTGTCTGTGGGATCTGGGGTATCTCAACACCCTGGGTCCCTTGTCCCTCGATGAAACCACCCACACACTGCCTCAATTACATTGCTATGGGATCCTCAGGCTTCTGTTGTAGTGATGCCATTGTCGCCAACCACCCCCCGACCAATGTCACATTACCCTATTACCATCGCCATAAACATATCATCATTCCTCCCTTCACCGTCATCACCACCACTATTCCTGTCATTCCTGCTGTCACTGTCATCATCATCACCACCATGACCATCTCCTCCTCAGCCAGTATCATCACTGACCACACCACATCACAATCATCACGCCACCACCACCATCACCACCACCACATCCCACCGTCCCTGTCCCTCCATCACCTCAACCAGTATCATTGTCACTGTGACCTCCACAAGGCCCATCACTGCTGTTGCCCAGACCAGCACCATCATCATCACTGCCACCATCCCACCTCTGACACCACCTCCACCATCACCATAACCACCCACCTCCACCTCAACCAGTATTCACATTACCTTGACCACCAGGATGGCCCTCATCACCACCACTACCACCACCAGCATCGCCACAGTCACTGTTGTCACCACCACCATCTTCACCTCCACCACGTTACCATGATGACCATTTCTACGATCACCATCCCCTGTAACACCACCGTTTCCACCTCAACCACCTCCCTCATTAGTACCATCATCATTTCCTATATCACCTCTGCCACCTTCACCACCAATGCCGCCTCTGCCATCATCACATTGTCACCATTGCCTGCACTGTCACCATCAGAGCCACCTGCACCACTACCACCATCAGAGCTGCCGTCGCCGTGACCAGATGCACGCAGTTGCTGACTGTAACAGGTATGAAGGCATTTAATAGGAGTTTTCACAACCATTGGATGACCTGAGGCATAAAGACTGGGAACACAAGTCATCCTGAGGGTCTGCCTGCTGCTCCAAAGTGCATGGATCTCAAGAGCTTGCCTGGAAGCTTCAGCCTGCAGCTCTGAAGCAGAGAGGTCTCAGAGGATTGCCTGGGACTTGCTGCAAACCTCCGGATGTCATCTGCCTTCAGCTGCCTCTTTCTCTTCCACTTTCGAAATCACACGCATTGGCAGACTCTACCCGGAAACCACATGGGTAAGAGGATTCTGGAAAATCTTCCCTAATTCCCTAGGATGCAGAGGAGATGGTGAAGGAGAGTGGCGGACATCACATCTGCCGCATTATTACCGTCGCATCAGCACTGTTGCTAGAGCACGTCATGATTCCTACCGTTGTCGGCATCCCTCCATTGCTGTCACAACTCCATTCAGCCAAGTGGAACCATCATCAGCACTCCCACTGCCATCGCCAGCAGCACCAGGGCCACCGTTACTACCATTTCCATCACCCCCACGATCACCAGCAGTCTACTGCAGCATTGCCCAGCTATTGCTGGAGACTTGTAGAACCTTCCTGAAGGGGAGTACCATTCCCCACCCCACTGATGCTGGCCTGGGCCACGTGGTGAGAGCACAGGTGACACGGGTACATCACATCCCAGGAGAAGTCTTCAGAGGCACTCCACGTTTCTCTCAGCTCCCACTTCCTCCCTCTCTACCATTTGAATGGTATGTTCCAGACCAGAGCACTCCCTCATCCAGGATCCAGATGAGAAGACCTGTGAGCTGGAGCCCCAGTGATGTGGGCAAGGGCCAAATGTCCGTCATAAGGCTCCGAGATGAGGGGGGCGTTTCTGAAGCAAAGCCGTACAGCACGCAACATGCACTGCCTCCATGACCATCACCAGCGTCACCACCTCCAGGACCACTGTCACCATGACCAACCTCCCCAACAGTGCCACTACTAGCCTTTCCATCACCTCCTGTCACATCTCCACCATCACTATCAATATCACCTCTATCACCCCTAGTCCCCAATTACCATCCCCTCCATTGTCACGACCACACTTTACCTCTTCGCTACAAGCCTGACTACTGTCACTGCCACTATCACCTCTTCTGCCATTAACAACTTCACCATCACCACCATAATTGCTCCTACACTCACCACTGCCTCTCTCCTGTTCATTTCCTCTGTCAAGTGACATGTGTTGGGTGTTAGCCCATGTGGGTGGGTGGACAGGGGCCACAGTGGACAAGTCCTGCTCCCAGTAAGGCAGGTGGGAGCAACTGCCTCTATCACTCTCAGTTGGGCTTGCAAAGTGTCTCCAGATTCTGCTTTCATTCCTCTTGGCATTTGGGACTGGCTGGAACCTGCTGTCCCCTACTAGGGGCTGGGAACTCAGCGCTGATGAGTACGGAAGGAGGAGAGAGAGACAGAGAGAGGATACAGAGAAGGGTAAGGGCTATAGAAAGCAAGAAGAGAAGGCAGGCATGGGGGTAGATTGCTGGGGCTGGGAGAGGAAGAGGCATGCCCTCCTAGGTAAGACTTGGTGATCCGGGGGTGGCTCGGTCAGTTGAATGTCTGCCTTCAGCCTAGGTCATGCGTGATCCCAGGGTCCTGGGGTCAGGCCCTGCATCAGGCTCCCTGTTCCCTTCTGCCCCTACCCCTGCTCATACTTGCTCTCTCTCTCAAAATAAATAAATAAAATCTTAAAAAAAAAAAAAGACTTAGTGATCCCAATAGATCTGTTCCTCATTGGTGCAGCTACTAAGTAGTGTGTTCCATCTTAACTAGAGGAGGGTGAGGGAAAAGGAGGAATAGATGTCAATCAGTATTGTTAATTGCTATTTCTCAATATGATCTAACATCGGAGCAAGAATTAAAGAAATGTAAATGCCTAGGAACATGTGGTTCCTTACTCACTCATCTTACTAGCTTTGCAGGGCTGCCAGGGCATATGATCACAAACTGGGTGATTTAGAATGAAAGAAATGTAGCCTCTCATGGTTCTGGAGGTCAGAAGTCCAAGAGCAAGGTGTCAGCAAGGCTGTGCAGTTTCTGGTGGCTGTGGGCTCCCCCTGTGCAGATTGCCACCCCTGTTCTGTGTGATTTCATAAGGATACTTGTCATCGGACTGGGGACCTGTCTACATAATCCAGGATACTCTCGTCTCAACATCCCTAATTTAATTACATATGCAAAGACCCTTTTTTTCCAAATGAGATCACATTACAGGTTCCCCATATTAGGACAGGAACATAACTTTGGGGGGACCACCATTCACTTCACTATACTCACTAGTCACACTATCAGTCCCGATTATTTTTTAAAAGATTTTATTCATTTTCTATGAGAGACACAGAGAGAGGCAGACACACAAACAGAGGGAGAAGCAGGCTCCTCCCAGGGAGCCCGATGTGGGACTCGATCCCTGGACCCTGGGATCATGCCCTGAGCCAAAGGCAGATGCTCAACCACTGAGCCACCCAGGTGTCCCAAACCCGATTTTTCTTATCAGAAGTGAGTGGAATGCTTCTTTTCATTTGCTGTCCTCAGACAGCCTGTCTGTCTGCATCTCTCTCTGTCTCTCTCTCTCACTGATGTGCCGTGTGGCCTCGAGTACATCCTACATGTCTCTGAGCCTCTTTCATTCAACAAATGTTTATTGATTGTCAGGCATGGTCTTAGACACTGACGAACACTGCTGCCTTTGCAGGCCTTACTTCTGAGGATCTGACCTGATAGAGGGCGCAAGAAGAATTAATTCCTGCTCCTGCCTCCCTTCCTGGTTCCTCACGTGCCACCCCCCCCCCACCAGCTCCATCCTAACAACCCAGCCAGTGGGCTAAGCGGATGTGTCCAGGAAGTCCTCCCTCCCCCCCCCGACGGTGGTCCCGACCTGCACTGCCCACCTGGACTCGGTCCTGCGGCTGACCCTGCCTCTGCTCCTTGGCTCCCAGGAGCCCAGCCCACAGGCCCAGCAGAAGCAAGCTCCAGATCCTAGTCCCGCCAGGGTGCCGACCTCGGCAGTGGGGGGCAGGCTGGTGTGCCTGCCTGTGCCAATGCGGGGCTGGACGCGGGGCGGGATCCGCCCCGCCCAGGGGCTGATGTCACAAAGGGCCAGGCCTCGGCTCCGCAGGGGGGTGTGCCCCTGGCCTGGCCCCACTGTGGCAGTGTCCCCCTCCCCCCACTCCTCTGAGGGGAGGCGCCCACCAGTCCCTGAGAACTGGTACTATGAAAAGGTAAAGCCGCCAGGCAGAGCCGCGCCCGGAGCCAGCAGATTCCAGCAAGGCCCCCGCAGAGGGACCCACACCAGCTGCTGCCTCCCCCCGGGTCATCCCAGCCCCCGGGCCCGCGTGCCCAGCTCACCTTCGCCCCCGCCTCTGCCCCCCACCGGCCGCAGCATGGCCAACTACTACGAGGTGCTGGGGGTGCAGTCGAGCGCCTCCCCGGAAGACATCAAGAAGGCCTACCGCAAGCTGGCCCTGCGCTGGCACCCCGACAAGAACCCTGACAACAAGGAGGAGGCCGAGAAGAAGTTCAAGCAGGTGTCCGAGGCCTACGAGGTCCTGTCCGACACCAAGAGGCGCTCGGCGTACGACCGCGCGGGCTGCGACAGCTGGCGGGCCGGCGGCGGGGCCAGCACCCCCTACGGCAGCCCCTTCGACACGGGCTACACCTTCCGGAACCCCGAGGACATCTTCCGTGAGTTTTTCGGCGGCCTGGACCCGTTCTCGTTTGATTTCTGGGATGCGCCCTTCCACAGCGACCGCGCGGGCCGGGGCCATGGGCTGCGGGGCGCCTTCTCAGCGGGCTTCGGGGAGTTCCCGGCCTTCGTGGAGGCCTTCTCGGCCTTCAACGCCCTGGGCCGGGCCGGCGGTGCCAGCCGCACCACCTTCTCGTCCACTTCCTTCGGGGGCTCCGGCGCCAGCAGCTCAGGGTTCAAGTCAGTGATGTCGTCCACCGAGATGGTCAACGGACACAAGGTCACCACCAAGCGCATCGTGGAGAATGGGCAGGAGCGCATGGAGGTGGAGGAGGACGGGCAGCTCAAGTCGGTGACCATCAATGGCAAGGAGCAGCTCAAGCGGGTGGACAACAAGTGAGTGGCCGGCCCTCCCTGGGGCCACCGCTGTCGCCGCCACCCACCTGCCGCACGGGCCGCAAGCTAGGCTCAGGGTTAATAAACATGCCAAGTGAGTTCATGGAAACAGCTGGCCTGAATGTGTGGGGTGTGGGGACCTGCTGGGCCGGCTGGGCCCCAGCCCCATGCAGAGGATCGCAAGCGCTCAGGCCCCTCGGCACCACCTCCACACCCAGGCTGCGTTACTGGGAGATGCGGGGGTGATCTCTCTTGTCTGTGTCATCTGGGCTGGGGTCTGTCTATCTCAACCCAGCCCTGTTCCTCTGTGCCCACCATCTGCTCTCTGATGGGGCTGCATCATGTCTCAGCCCACTGCCCCCTCAGTGATGCTTTGCGCAACCATCATGCCAAACACAAGTTACATCATGATGCCTGCCTTGCTGTGTACCTTCGGTGGCTCCCTCTGCTCTAAGCATAAAGACCTCAGGCGTCGTCCTCACCATGGGGCCTTGGTGGTCAGGTCCCTGCACGCCTTCTCAGTCTCACCACCCTGCAACCCTCACTCTCTGAGCCCCAGACATACTGGCAACCCTCTATTCCTCCACTGAACTAAATGCCTTGCAACCTTAGGGCCTTTGCACATGCTGTTCTCCCTGGTATATGCCCATTCATCTCGAGGCCTTTGCTCAAGCATCACTTCTTCAAGGAAGCTTTCCCCAACATCACTATTCTGAATTAGTCCTCCACCTACCCCACTCTGAAGGCCCCTCACCCATTTCACCCTGGCCCTTATGTGTTGTCTGAGGGATGTGTGCCTCCTTGACGACACTGCAGGTCCAAGGGGCAGGACCTGTAACCCCTCATCACTCACTGCTCTAGACCCAGAGTCTAGAGCAACGCCTGGGACTAAGGGGCAAGGTATATTTGTGTTGGGGTGTTGAGAGATATGCGCTGATCTTAGGCAAGCCAGAGTGAGGCTGGTTGTCTAGGAGGAAGTGAGTGCTGGAGCAGGAGACAGGAAATACTGGGTCCTGTTTCGGACCAAGAAACACAGTTTGCGGTGAAGGCTCCTGTGTGCCTCTGTAGTGCTCATGGCTGGGCCCCACGGGGTGGACTTCAGGACAGGCTGTTGGTATGATGCTCTAGTGCTGGTCAGCATAGCTGGTGGGCATCTTTTGAGCAGCTTTATGGGCTGCGAGCAGAGGGGCAAGTAGGAAAGAAAGTGAGTCCAGCAGACAAGACCATGGACATGTACAAGGACCCTGGGCAGGTGTTCTGAGGACTGGGGCTCTGTTGTAGGATTTCCCCAATGACCCCCGAAGGAAGCCTACATAGGGGAGACTATAGCCTGATGTGCAGACATCGCACACACATTTTCATCCGTATTTGTGTAGCACAGAGAAGTGGAGGATGGTTAGATTTTGGTCTGCTGCCCCAGGAGGCTATAAACTCCACAAAAATAGGAGCTCTGATCCTGTTTTTGTTCATCTCCAGTACCTAGCCCAAGGCACGAATATAGTAAATACTCAATAAGTATTTGTTGTATGAAGGTGTTTGTCTATGAGCCCGAGTGAGGTCTCTATAGCTGGGCCACAGAGCTCTGTCCTCAGCATTACATCCTCAATAAGGTTTTGAAGGAGCCACAAAGGGCACACGCCTCACATTCTCAGACACACTTCACTGGGGAGGGGAACAGATGCAGAGCTATTGCCCACGTGAGAAATAAGATGACCAACTCTTGCAACTGGAGTGAATATAGTAACTCTGCTTTAAAGAGAAGAAGGAAATTGGGCTGGGCAGACCTGGCTATGTCAACCATGTGTGGATATGGAGCCGGAGATCTTAGTGGGCCACAAGCTTTGTGTGGCCAAAGGTGTGAATGAGGAAGTGCCTAGGAATTCTCATGTGCCCTTGGGGAAGTAATGGTTCTTCTGTTCAGAATTTCTATCCCACTCTGTGCTCAGCTCCAGGCCCTGCCCTGGGAGAGGGGCAAGAGCAGCCTGCAGTGGATCCAGAGGGGGTGGCTAGGGTGGGGACAAAGTTGGAGACCTCATCCTAGGAGAAGCTGGGAGATTCAGCTTGGAGAAATCCAGCTGTGTGGATTTTCAACTGGATTTCACCCAGTTGTCCCTAGGTGTCTGCAGGGCTCCTCCAGGCCAGGAGAACAGATGGGTCTGAGCCCAGGGATCAGACCTGGGAGCCACTGGAAGGGCCAAGTGTCCCAGGGAGCAGGTCCTGGCCTTATGGAACTGGAGTTTTATTGAAGACAGCAAGGCAGACGCCCCTAGAGGAGAGTGAGCTGCCCATCACGGGAGGGGTGACAGTGCTGAGTTCTGATTACCTGTGGGCCTACAGAGTGCCAATGTTTTAAAAATATTTTTAAAGTATGTTTTTATTTTGAAACAATCTCAAGTTACAGATGTGTCATGTACTTTTAATGTGATGTAAATCAAGAAATAGGTATTGAGCACTTATGGTATGCCAGGAACAATTGTAGGTCCTGGGGAATACGGAGGTGGGCAAGACAGCTCCCTGCCCTAATGGGGCAGACATTCTGCTGGGGAGCCAGAACAAGCAGGTGTGTAGAACACTGTTCCCAGTCGTAATGAATGCTAGAGAGGAAATCCAGGCAGGTAAGCTCATGGAGAAGGATGGGGTCAAGGGCATGGGAAGGAGAGTGTTTCGTCAGGTGCTCCTGGGAGGCCTTCCTGAGGAGGAAATGGGAATACAGTGAGATCATGGCGGGAAAAGCCATGTAGTTATCTGGGGGAAAAGCCTTCTGGACAGAGGGGACAACAAACGCAAAGACTCTGTCCTGTTGAGGAACAGGTGACAGCAGAGGCACACAGTTCCATTTAAGGCCCTCACTGTCCCAGATTGGAGTCATTGACCCATGTCACATAAGAGAAACTGAGGCAAAGAGAGGAGAGTCACATAACTGGCAAGTAGCTGAGCCAGAATTTCATTCAGGATATTGGGACTCCAGAGGATTTATCTTCCAAATAATAATAATGGTAACAATAGCCACAATACTTGCAGCAACAAAGGTCGATGTGCATATGTATGTGTGCCTGTGCGTGCATGCATGGGTGTCTGTGAAGGATTGGCATGCTAGCAATTCCTTGTTCCTTGGGGGGTAGAGTGGAACCAGAGGTGGAGGTGATTCCAGATGCCAGGGTTCAAGGCTGATTAGTGACAGGGTCTTGGATCCCAGGCTGGGAAGAGGGGAGTGTGGACGTGGCTAGGAGGGGTGCTGTGAGTGCCAATCGGGCTGGGGCCTGAGCAGCTATTGCTCACCTATGCATCTCAGCTCCTAGCCTGGCAAGTTGTAGGTGTCCAATAGATGATGTGAAATGAAAGAAGGTGGGAGCACACTATTCCAGGGACCAGCAAGAACCAAAGGGTGTGCTCAGAGGATAGCCTCTGGAGGTCATGATAGGAGAAGCTGCTGGGAAGCCATAAACCTAGAGGGGAGGTTGGGGCTTGGTCAAAGACAGACCTGGGAGGAATTCATCCCCATTTCCAGATGCACAGCTAGACCGAGGAACACCCATCGAGGTGGCGGGGAAGCCTAGAGGTGGCCTGGGTACTTTTCTCCCAGGTGAACATCTGGGCTTCTTGAAGGCTTCTTCTAGGAAGTCGGGGGACATCACCCCAAGATCTCTAGGGGTTGCAAAGCCCCTGGGGGTCCTGCAAATGCCCTGGCCAAGAGGACACAGTAGGTGACCTGACTGTGGGCCGCACCTCTAGGCTCAGCCTAGCCTCTGGCTTCTTGAGTCCCGCCTCCAGGAGCCCCTGAGACAGGCCAGCAGCTGGAGGTCTCCTAACCACGTTACCGGAGGAACGGGAGAGCCCCATGACACACAGAAGGTTGAACCCCAGCTCCCAGCCCTGCAATGGGACTAACTTCATCAAAGCCCCCACTACAGCATTAACCACCTGACCTGTGCCCCTGCCGACCTGCTAATTTCACCAATTACTGGCCAACCGCGGCTGCATCAAGTGGGCCCGCTTAGCTCCGACAGCTGCCGGGCAAATGCAATTACGGCCCAGCAGCCCAGGCGGTCACATGGTCCTGGAGCTGGGTGCACGGCAGAGATGCTTGCAAGACACCGGTGTTCCTAAGCACTCAGGATCCCACGGTCATGGCACTGTCTGCACTCCCAACCTGTCACCAAGCCTGGCCCATCAAAGCCATGCTTCCCCTCTCCAGCTCAGACCCATGATAGATCACGGCTTTCCCCTCCCAGACTCCTCCCAGGGCTGCCGAACTTGGCGACCTGTGTGCCTGGCAAAGCATGTGACAGGTCCTTGACCACTTGGCTGAATCCCGTCTCCACCCTTGGCTCCATTTGCCACATTGAGAAACTGAAGCTCGGACAGGTTGAGGCGCAACTAGAGATGCACACCAGAGGTCAAGCCCAACTCCCTCAACGGGTGTTTGAGTCCCCTGCTGCCTTCCCAGCCGCTCAGGTCACTTGCCCCACAGGCGCTGCCTGCCCGGGCCCCTTTCAGTGACCAAGTCTTGTGTCATCTTGTCCTGCACCCGAACCTCCCTTCTCATCTCCTTTGGGGCCATCCTTGGAGGCCTCACTCCCAGTCCCCTCCTTGGGGAGGCCTCCCCAAGCCTTGCTGGAGCAGGATGTTCTGGCCAAGGGGACTTCACCTTCTGGGCCTGGCTTTGTGGCAGGTGCAGAGACTGTGGCCATGAGGAAGCCTGGGGGTCCCACAGAGCTCCCACAAGCCGGCATGCGCACGCTGGCTTGGACTGACTGGTTGGGGCCAGCTCTGTTCCACTTCTCATACAAGAGTGTCCCAAGGGTGGGGTTACATTGAGGGCCTCTCCTGGCCGAGCCTCAAAAGGTGAAGGGCTCACCTTCAGGATACAGCTCCTAGCAAGGGTCCCCTCTGCTGCCTCCTGGGACCCCCATCACTCCCCCGGGCACTGTGCCAGCCTTTTGCTTGGCCTCCCTGCCTCCTGCCTTCCCCTCCTTCATCCTGTTCCTATCCCAGCAGCCAGAA